TAGTTTGTGTGTCAAAGACCGGTTCTAAGGACCCCTCTTCCTCCTCTTCACCCTCCCACCCAACTTGTGGAATCTAATCTCGTAACCGCCAAGCAAACCACATGCCACCTGCATTGCATATGTAGGAAGCCAAGCGCATGCCATGGATGAATGGATAATTGGATGCGGGTAAGTAGCCTGACGATAAACAGAATGCTGATCAATGATAAGCTGATAATTTATTCCCTCTCTCTATAGGTAGATTACTATGTGTATGTATGTATGAGGTACTTACTATCTACATACCTCATCCGGTTCAAGGACCGGCCCACCTGTATGTGTGTGTCTGCCTAGTAGGACCGAGAAACCCGTGCCTTGATTGCCCGCTTTTCGATATAACGGGTATACGTGGCGGGGTGGAGGGTAGAGGTACGACCTAAGCTCCATAATCCTGCCCTGTTTCTGTTATTGTCTTCCACGTTCTCTGAACCTTAGATGGGTTTAGCACGAATGTCCGATCGCAGGTCAACTGACCCCGGATGTACCTGGAGCCCGTTATTACTATTTAGTTATTTTTATTTATTTTGCTCACCATTAACCCGTATTGTAAGCAGGGACTGAGCGTTAGTTCATTAGGCCGATGTCAAATCCCGGGATTGAACATGTCATGCCATGTGCTGGATTGGATGGCAGAGATGGATGCGGTAAAATTAAATCTTACTTTCTTGTTGTAGTTATGGCGCTAAGTGGGTGTCATTCAACTTCTGCAGACATCTCTTGATTAATTCTGCGGGAGCCGGTAGATACTACTACACCACTAACTACTAATTTGGTCGTTGACTACCTCTACTAGTAACGGAGTAGGTAGGTGTGGCTTGAGTATCGCATACACTCCTGTCAGTCAGTTTACTTGGCTGAATAGCTACCAACTAGCTAGCTAGTTATCTGACTACTTCCCTAGCTTCAAACTCCCAGGCCCTTCTCCTATCATCAATTACGATCGGGACGCGGATGCGAAGAAAATCACTCATACTTAGACCGATTAGTAGACTGATTACCTCGCCTAAAAGGAGGGGTTAATGACACAAAGTGAAACCAAAACCCCTATGGATTTAATTTACTCAATGCCATCTCAACATACCCGATGACCCTACTTTGCTGCTTGTACTGTATCTGTTGCACTGGCCAGTCGCACCAACCACTTACTAGATCAGGCAGGATGATATCTACGTCCTGGCATACGTGGGATCGATCCACATCATGCTTCTTTCTTCCCCGCTCTATATCGTGTATACTCCGTAGCAAGTAGATACTCCGAAAGATACGGAGTAGTTAGTTGATGCTGGAATGGTTGCCTGTCAGCCTCAGGCGACCAGTCTCGCCGCCCGGCGACGGAATCTCCACGTGATAGCACCGGTCCAACAACGCAACCTCCATCTGTCTGGCCATCGCCGCAACGACCGGAAAAGATGGTTCTGGAACTTCATATTTGGGGTCCGGCATTTTCATTGCCGTCTATTGATGCGCAATGTCTCGCCGCTATTACGTATCTGTCCCTGACCGTGCCCAAGGACGCCTGGGTGCTCGTCGCAAGCAGTGATCCTTCCGTGTCGCCGACTTGTATGTTTATCTGAGTGGTTTATTCTCCGAATGCTAGTTTCTGGAGGGCCCCTGCTCTACACTTGTGGGATTAATGACGCATTTGACTAATAAATACAATCTCATAGGCGAACTACCGGCTCTCAAAAATGGCTCAACATGGGTGAGCAGGTTCCGCAATATCGTCGATTACCTCCGTCAGTATTCGAACGGCGACTGGGACCTGGATCAGGGTCTCGATGGACTCGAAAAAGCAGATAACATTGCGTATGCTTTCCCACGTCCCAGTAATTTGAGATTATAATCCGTCAGGAGAAGAGATAGTTCTAACTGATCATTAACAGCTTCTCCGCCTTCCTTGAATCCCGCGCTCAATCCCTCCTCGACCTCTCCCTCTACGTCACCAGCCAAAACTACTACAACTGCACCTCTCCCTCCTACGGCGCCATCCTCCAATGGCCCAACCAATGGATCCTCCCCCCGAAACTTCACAGCGCCGCCAAAACCCGCACCGAACATCTCGGCCTCTCCTCCCTGGACATACAAGCCATCGAAGACCAACGGAAACGTGACCACTCCGCCGCCGTCGCAGCAGGCCAGATCCCCAAGAACCTCATCCCCCAGCCGCGCGACACCGTTTCATCCCTAATCGGCAAGACGGCGCAGCAGAACCAGTTCAAGCTGGAGGCGTTGACCGCGGAACTGTTCGAGCCGCTCGAGGAAATCCTCAACGGGAAGGGATACTTTCTGCACACCCGCGAGGACGGACCTACAAGCCTGGACTGTCTGGCGCTGGGATACCTGAGTCTGGCGCTTGTGCCGGAGCTACCTAACTCCTGGCTGAGGGATGCGATGCGCAGCAAGGCACCCCAGGTGACGGCGTATACGGAGCGAATGGTAAAGGAGATCTTCGGTGTGGTTGAGCTCGAACATGCTCTTCCTTCGGATGATACTAAGAGGTCACGATCATCGATCCTGCCATGGCAGGCACCGCAACGGGCCCGGTTGGCTACGATTGGAAGCACCCTTTACAATACCCTTGCGGATGCGACACCTATCTGGAAGGATATCCGCTTGAATAACCGGATGAAGGAGGCGATTGATGACAACGGGGAGCTGAGTGGGATTGAGCGTAGGACGATGTCGGCGTTTGCCGCCGCACAGTCGAAGGATGTGTGGTTGTCGGTTGGGTATGCGGTTGTGAGTGTTGCGGCGTTTGTTGGGTATCTTACGTTCCAACCGTCGATTCGGAAGGGTTGGACACAGACTGTTCAACCTGTACACGAGGAGGGAGAGTTCGAGGTGGTAGATGACGAGGAAGGTGAAGGGGAAGGGAAAAAGGAAGAGGAACTAGATCTTGAAATGGACGCGATGAAGGTTTTGCGTGATCTTGATCTATAGTGTTTATTAGATAGATTGTTTATTAAGAATTTCCCATCAAGGGTGATGTAAGAGTAGCCAAACAGTTTCTTCTGAGTCTTATATCAACATTTCCAGCGGAGTGTATTGTTTCCCTACTTCCTACATAGAATGTTTCTTGCTTGGTCTTGAACTTGCAAACTGCACCCATAGTTCTTCTATCTTGGATATAGATAAACATCGACAGATCGCACACGTCATAGGTAGGAATAAAATTATTTGGGGCACCCTAATCAACTTATAAAGGAAGTACAAGTGCGTATTACATACCTTCAATGTGTTCTTAATCCTTCAGTTACTTACCTGTGCTACTACCCTCAAATTCCACGACAAGATTAATAATGTTAGGACAGAACCAAATGCTAAATACGAAGTTCGTTTGACTATAAACCAGTGAAACAAACAGGAGGTAGTAAGGCTGCCACGTATAGTGTCCATAGATCCCAGGGAAGAACTTATGTAAACAGGATGATGTGGATGGAACAAAGAATGGAAGATACAGCAGAGTATTTTTCAAATACGACAAGATTCGAAGTATTTGTTATTCTCTGATACAGAGCAGTATTGCGAGAAACCTTGGGATTTATCTCCTTCTCCTACCTCCGACCTCCTACTACCTCTCACTCATTTGTATTATGAAAAGCCTTGCCCGTCTCCAGCGAGGTACGTGTTTGCGGAGCGCCCCAAGCCCACAATATACACTACTGCAGAGGCGTGCTTTCTTTCTGAGACAGGGATACTACTGTGCTCTGTTGACTGGAAAGGGATCCCTAACATGTGTGGAGGTATTGAAATAAATAGTTCCTCTTTGGTACATTCATATCAACATTGGACAGCACCAATACAAACTGAAGCCTCCTGATACAAAGCAGACAGACGCAAAAGTCGCCTAGTATAAGAACTTATTCATCTCACACCCAGTCCCACCCAACAAGATCTTAGACGCCTCAGCCGGTATATGCCCACTATCAACTCCAACACCGACACCCACACGCCCTGGGAAGAACGTTAGTATCCACCCATACCACAAGTATCGGCATCGGAAAGACAGCATAAAGAAAGAGAAGGGCTTTGATCTTCCTCAATCGGAGCTGGAATGGCTGATTCAGGATGACGCATTGCATCCGCACAATACAAGCCGCGACCATCGCCTGGAGAGCGAGGACATACGCCTGGCCAAAGGGAAGGCAGCGGACAGTTTGAGGGATCGGAGTGAGGTGCATTATTATGAGGTATATATTCGAGACGACCACCCCGCTGAACAGGGAGGTGATGATTTCTGCTGGGGAGATCATTGTTATGTAGGGGTGATAGAGGAGATTGGGAGGGACTGGCTCTTAAGAGATGAGAGAAGAATACCTGTGGGGTCCCTGTTATCCAAATATCTCGACTATCTAACTAGCGCTTGCTCGGGCCTCCAGCCTTACAGGGAATATGTTCCGGGTGCGAGCAGGGTGCATACTCGCGCCACTTGTCAGATGGTGGTATTTGGATGGTGAACATCAAGGTAGACATGTAACATTTACTAATCTATTGGGTGTTGGTTAGTGTCCCATTTCTATTGACAGTTGGATATATTGCGATGGTGAGATAGATGCCTTCTTCCACATACGTTACTGAATGTAGTCAAGGATGAAGGATAGATCTGCTGAAGGCTTAAGTTACCGAACCATCCATAAGGCACCATCGCACTGGGATGAAAGCGTTAGACTATTTGAGTTCCAGCTTGCTTCGACAAAGATATTCTCCCTGGTTGCACGCGCAGGTCTCTCAGCCTGCCTGCCTCATGTGAGCCCTGACTAGCGCTTCGGCGAACGGCTTTAGTGTGCAATGCAATACTACGCAGGTGAGACACTGGCAGGGTTAGATTCTCGCCTGCAGTCTGTATCAGGCCTAAACGTCTTGGCTAACGTCTGTGTGGGTAGGTGAGGGGCACAGTATCGCTACAGCAGTTTGATGATTGCAATTCATCGTCTCCTCACTAAGAAGTATAACACCCTGTAGGCAGGTCAAGCATCTGTCAAATTTGATTCTACCATCGTGTCTGGTGGATATGACCCAGTCACAGTGCAGGGTAAAGGAAATCACTTCCACAGTTCTCGTATAAGTAAGAGACAAGCAAGCACCATAACCATCTTCACTTACTTCATCAACTAACCTGCAGTGCCAACCCAGCTATAAACACCCTACTTCCTCCTCGACCGGCACTCATCCGCCGAAATGAAGCCCTCGGCATCCATCCCACTCCTCTTGACCATCTTATCTTCATTCTCATTGAGTGTGAATTCCTATCAAATCTTCGAATACCCGGAGTACCAATATATTAGCCCACAGCTCAATGCGCATCGACAACTACCGAACGCCGGGACGAACTTCACCGATAATGTGATAAAGTTCTGCTCCCACGACCAGGAATGTTTTGCTTTTGCAGCTTACCTCTATACTCAGCGTGGAATGCGCGAAGGAGGAAAGTGTCCGGGTCTTTGATTATGTCATTCGCAACTTGATCTTCAGATGGTTTAAGTGCTGTGCCGAGTATAGTTACAAACACCTGCTGCGATGGTAAATACATGCAAGTGTATAGCTGTAGTCTTTTTGTTCCTCGGGTTGAAATACAGGATATATGTTATATTGACCAACTTTGGACATGTTATCCTTCAGCTATGACAATCTGGTAGACGTGGAGCCGTGCCATCTTGCCTGTGAAGGAGATTCGTATGAAGATTAAATAGTAGTACATTCGACTCACCGGGAACAGCTTCCCAAGAGCATACCAGTCCTAATATTCTTATGCTAGACCTCCAGGACATACATACAATACGGACGTTAGAATAAAGTAAGTAAGTAAAGTAACCAAGCAGTGATCTCAACACCATACCTTGACCTTAAGCTAACCGGCGTTGAACCTGACAAATCGGCAATAACCTCCAAAACGTTGCAATGATTTTGCTTGGTAGTCAGTCATTTCAAGTAGTTAGTTGGGCTGTATACTTACTTAGCCAAGGTCAGCGAACTAGCTTATAGCTACTCCAGCTCCTATTTTTCAATGCCCAAGGGGTCTTCTATATCCATTGTGGAGTGTTACAATGCAGCTTTAGCACGGTTTAATCCCATACATGAAGAGAAAGGGGAATGGAAATGCTTATCAGTCTAGATGAATGTATTTTTGAGCTGATGAGCGGGTATAACTACTTAATAGATTGGATATAACTAAATACTAGGTAGTTATTACATTTCATGCTTAGAGTATGTTCGTTAGCTGTGAGGTGAACTCAGTTGTTATGGTTATTGTCATGTATCCATCTGATTGCAAGCCGGGTCTGGAATACTAGATAGGCATGGGGAAAGGTGTATAGATAAGGGAGATGGCTATTGCATAGCAAGATGCAGCTTACCAATCAGAGTAACAGTTGAGAGAATATGCAGAACTGAGGATACTATACAAGTTTAGATATAAAGTATAAATACTAATCATATGGTCACTTATGTAAAAACATGATTAAAGGATTGAAACTTAGAGTATAAAGTTACTCATAACTCAATAATCACGGTGGTATATGGATGTATGTACAATCGAACGTATCAAGCAAGCAGATCCTGGCAGCACGGCAAGGGTCGGACGTGCAATGTAACCCTCACTTCCAGCTGCGAGGGTCAGACCCCGAAGGACCCGGTGCAGGCCTGCACACACACAAAAACACCCTAACCCCAAGCCAAGTTTACCGAAGGGAATATTTGAAAAGAAATAAAGAAATCTGAACAAATTAATGACAAGACACATCTACTCGAAGTCGATGGTGACCTGGAGACGGACGGGGCCGGAGGCCAGGGAACCACCGATGCCATCGGCAGCAGCAAGGGCAGCCGTGTAGGCATTGATGACGCTGCTGGCCGACTTGGAGATACTGGAGCATCCACTGCCCTGGTGGTCGCAGATCTTCATACCCTGCACCTCCTGCTTGGAGTTCTGGGCCTGGATGGCAGACACGTCCCAGCCGGACCAGCCTTCGTTGCTAGTGTTACCGAAGTCGAATTCACCCCAGGTGCAGGAGTAACCGCCATACTCGTCGGTGGGGAGCTTGTCACCCTTGGCAGCACCCCAGCCACCCTGAGAGTCATCGTCGAAGGCAACGTAGCGAGAGGTACCGGGCTTGATGGTCAGGGTCAGAGCAGAGTTGCCGTACCAGCCGTTCAGACCTCCATCGGGTCCGATCTTGTTCCAGAAGACGACGGTCCAGTCGTCAGTCTCACTGCCGTCAATGCGGACGACGTGCTTGTACTGGCAGGCGTTCGAGGCGTCGACTTCGATGATGTTGCTACCCCAAGGGCTGCCGACATTGCCGGTGTAGTAGATGGCGTTGGTGGTGCGCTTGCTGACTGTGGACTTGCCAAAGCCGGCACGAGAGTAATCGCCGGACGAGAGGGTGTCGGTCCAGCTCGAGCAGGATCCACTAGCAGTGGCTGCGCCGGAAGAGCTGGAAGCAGAAGGAACCGCCGAGACGGAAGCAACGACGGAGGCGGCCACGGAGACAGTAGCGGCAGCTTCGACAGACACCTGAGTAGTGGCAGCCTCAGAGACGGTGGTAGCGGCGACACCGGACCACTCGTTGATCCAGGAGACCTTTTGACCGTCGATAGTAGCGACGACGACATCGCCGACGTCACGCTTGTCGTTGTGGTGGTGACGGCGTTCATGGCCGTGCAGGCGAGCAGTAGCGGAGCCAGCCGTCAGAGCGGCCAGCAGGAGCATGGAGTTCTTGAGCTGCATGATGTTGGGTTGATGAACAATGAACTGAATGGGTATCACAGGTGTTGTATTGGAACAAAGCAACCGGGTTCAGGGTACACGATTGATGAAAGAGAGTGAGTAGATTGGGAGTAATGAATGACGCGAGCAACACCAATAGGGACGCTCAGCCTTGAAACAAACACACACAAAGGAGTGAGATGTGTACCCGAGAAGGAGAGCAAAGCAGTTGCAGAGCAGAGAGGGAGAGAGAGAGGAAGAGGAAGGGAAGAGCCGGGGGGAAAGAGGAGATAATAATAAGAAAAGCCAGAGGGGGGGGAGGAGATGGAAAGGCCAGGCCCAGATCGTGGAAGGGGAGTTTCCCATTCAGTTCGTTACCATCGTTCCTTTCTTTCACTCTGCATGGGTTTTTCACTTTTTCCCGCATCAAACGGTCCTCTTCGTATCAAGTTGGACCTGTAATTGGATTTCATTAAATTAAAAGGGGGTCGATCAGGGGAGTCACTTGGCTTTGGGGGCGACTGATTGGTTGAAGACGAGCATCGGTTCCTGAGCTTGCCGTTCGAATGCTGCAACATGGCGTGTCATTGGTGGGATGAGCCCCCACTTGGGGTCTAAACCCAAATCCTTCTTTCGTCTGCAAATACAGAGTACAGCATAGTTACCTCGATATAGCATGGTTGGAACTCGATTTATTGACCCAGTAAACACAATAATTACCCACTTATATTCTACGTTCGGATAAGGTCCGACTGTTAGCATACCCATTTAGCAGGTAGTATAATGAATAACATCAACAGTCAATGGTAGATAGGATATGCTTTGTAGGTCGAGACTCGCAATCCCTGGAACCGCCCCGCCGATCGCGCCTGCCGTTGTACAATACCGTACGGTGCCTGGTACCTTACAGATGCACTCAGCACTTTGTGCTGCATCGTGTTCAGGTACACACTTCAACAAGTCTACACCGTCTCTTGAGTTAGTACTAGTGATGCTGAGAATCCCAGCATGTCAGCAATCCAGAGGAAGTGAATTCCGTGGATCTCATCGCCTAACGATCGATCAGTGGACGCCTCACGATAGGGCGGGGTTTGATTAGATGCATGGAATCCAGTTGGAATGCTGCCCGATCGCAAGAATCCGACAGAGTAAATCGCACTGCTTATTGATACGTCATTCGCACCATTATTCTGCTGTCCAATCTAATTTCACCCATGAACAAGTCACTTCAACTTCAGTCATTGTTGCTTGGTCGAATCCCGACCTTGCTGCCGGTTACCCAGGAACGAGCCAGCCCATCGCCACGTCAAGACCCACGTTGGACAGTGATTTGATCCGATGGACTGACAGTGGATGAATACAGGCCAGACCGTGAGATTGCACACCGTAAGACTGGAGCCTGCGTTCGGGTGGAAAGGCAAGGCAGGCAGTGACTTTTGCTCTCACTGCATCCACCTTGAATCGTTACGGTAATATTGGTATTTTGGTATAGCTTCAGGTAAAAAAGGGCTTGCAGGACCCCTAAGGGTCCGGCTGTTTTGCCCACCAAGTGACCCTGAATGCCACGGCTTAACCCCAATTTGACCCTGGCGCGGACCCTGATCAAGACCCCCAAAATCCAGGGACGGCGGCAAGCGGAATTCCAAACATCCTGCGCAGCCATGGTCAGCATCCCCAAACAACAACACCAACAATCGAGTTTTGCTGTCTGTATCGAAATCACTGGTCATCCCATGGACCATCTGGCCAGCGGGCCACTAGAGTTTAGCACAGCGACAACTCGGTAATCTTCAGCCCGTGTCCGAGTCCACCCCAACTGTCATTGCCTGTTGTTGGCCCGTGACCGGCAAGTCTGGGTAACGATAGTCGCTTAATCCACCGAGGGGGTGCGACCTGCCAAGTTCTGGCCACCGAAAACTGGCTGGACTATCGAACGTTGTCTTGGATTTTATGGGAACTAGCTCTTGCACTCATAGGAGAGCGTTGTTCTATACCTCTCTATCTATACTACTTTTTTCACATGTAAATAAATAGTGTTTCCCTGGGTCTCTGTCCCATGGATGCCGACGGAACCCCCTTCTCGGTTGGCAGGAATTGCTGACTTTCCAACAGTAAGCCACGTTCGGCCCTCAATATCAGCCGACCACTTCCTGGATGGGCTGAGAATCTCCTTTTCGGCCTGGGGGCCCTCTAAAATTAGAGGCCAGCTGCCCTGTTCGAGACGAGGAGCGGATACTATTCCTGTCGCGGAGAGCGACTCGTCAGCTTCAATTTGGGGCCCGATGATCCGGCGTGACTAAGCACCTCCTTTCGAATTCCGTGTCGTTGGCCTAATTAGGGTTAGACGATTGCCTATTCGGTGCTCAGTCAGCACCATTCAGTTGCAACAATCAGTCCTAAGTTACCTACATTCTCATTTTATGGCTATACCCTCGAGACGAACAGCCTCCATGTCTTACTGCTCTCCGGGATCAGATCAAATGAAATGTATTTACATCTATACAATTATATTCTAAGCCTCAAGTAGGCCCCAAGGTATGTACTGCGCAAAGAAATCATCAAACTACTTCAGGTCCACGCCTCCGTCGAAAGCAGCACCCCCCGCCTGCGCATCCACCTTCATGCTCTCATCCAATCCACACACACGGAAGAGCATCTGTGGTGTCATCTCCTTGTCCAACCCCGGGATGCCGTCCCTCTTCAGCTTCTCCATTGCGTCGCGCATCGCTGCAACGGCAGGTCCCAATGCCGCGAATGGGAAGATGATGATGCGGAAGCCCATCTCCTTGGCCTCGGCCGCTGAGATCGACGGCGTGGCCCCGTGCTCCACCATGTTCAGTAGCAACGGCCACCCCGCCAGGTCCTGAATCACTTGCCGGGCCATCTCCCTGGACGTGATTCCCTCGAGGAATCCTACGTCCGCGCCTGCATCGCGCGCGGCCCGCAGTCTTGCGACGCTCTCCTCATAGCCGTGGGTTTGAAGGGAATCCGTCCGGGCGATCACAACAATATCACTACCAATCCGCTGGCGGGCCTGCACTGCTGCCCGGATCCGTGTTACGTAGGTGTCCCTGTCCACGAGAATCTTGCCGGCAAGATGTCCGCAGCGCTTCGTCTGAACCTGGTCCTCGAGGTGGAAGGCGGCGACTCCAGACCGCGAGTATTGCTCGGTCGTGCGCGCGACCATGATGGGGCCGCCGTAGCCGGTATCAGCGTCGGCAATTACGGGAGTGCTAGGGGAGATGTTGGAGATCATTTCGGCGTTGGCGCGCATGTCGTTGAGAGTGCAGATGCCCAAGTCTGCTTGGCCGTGAACCGAGGCAGCGGTACCAGCACCGGTCTGTAAGGATTGATGAGCCGGTTGACCAGCATGTAAAGATAGTGACATTCGCCACTTACCATGTACAGAGCGTCGAAGCCCGCGGAAAGGGCGACACGAGCCGACAGTCCATCGTAGACCCCGGGGGCGACAATGAAGGAGTCAGGGTTCTCCAAAGCCCGTCGCAGGCTGGTAGCTGCAGTTACCATAGGCATGATGGCGGTTTGTAGAAGAAATGTCGGTTAAGAATGACAACGTTCTATGAAGTTATGAAGGGTGTACCGATGACGTTGAGACTCGTTGCTGTCGAGAGGTAGGTGCTGGTGACTTTATAGACTTGAACTCGCGTGGGCTGACAGTTATCGCCTCCCGCAATCGCTGCAAGTAGTGATTTATCTGTGATCTAGACGTCTTCTTTCGCCTCCGAGTCTGCGATGGAAGAAGAATTTAAAGGTGAAGCCATGGGAGCCCACCCGACATCGGCGGAGGTTAGGTAATCCCTCGGGGATGATTCGGGATTTGAGCATGACTCGGAAGTAGCCGATCCTGTCAAGTTTGCTGCAGATCGTTGAATCATCTATGCTACATAGTATGCGAATAGTTAATTATCACGAATTGGTGCTATCCTTTTAGATAGCTAAAAGTATTCTTCCGAGCCCTGTTACTATATCATATTCTTCCGTACTCCGTAGTGCTGAGCTTATATCGCGGGCTGCAGGGATTCCAATCCGTGGCCAACCAGCGCAGGTGATCGTCGGCTTTTTCTGCCGCGAACTCGAACTCCAAACTGCACTTCCGTTTCTCTTCGGCTCTTCTTCTCCCCGCCACGTCCATTTCGCCTCCACATCCGCTCTCCGCGCATGCCAGCATGATCTGAACTCTGACGCGCCTATTCTTCGTCTCCGATCGGTCCCCCTCGACTCTATTTCCTTACATAGCCCTCCGATATCGATCCTCATGGCCCGCTCCGCCATTGTCCAAGAATACGCCCCTCCGTCCTCCGCACCCACCTTCTCCGTCGACCGCAAAGTCACCCACGAACGCCAACAAAATGGCATCTCTCGCCCCAATGGATATCGCGTCTCCTGGCACGCCAATCCCGCCGTCGAACCACACCACTTTGGCCAGTCTCATCCCATGAAGCCATGGCGTCTGACCCTCACCAAGCAGCTGGTCATGGCCTACGGCATGCACCATGCGATGGACCTCTACCTGGCGCGCGCAGCCACCTACGAAGAGCTGGCCGACTTCCACAAATCAGACTACCTCGATTTCCTCAAGCAAGTCGTCCCGGGCGACATGGAGAACCCTGAACAGAGTGAAAACATCGCGCGCTTCAACTTCGGTGACGACTGCCCTATCTTCGACGGCCTCTACAACTACTGCTCCCTCTACGCCGGCGGCACCATCGACGCAGCCCGCAAGCTCTGCAACAACCAGTCGGAGATCGCAGTCAACTGGTCCGGTGGTCTACATCACGCCAAAAAGGCCGAAGCCAGCGGCTTCTGCTACATCAACGACATCGTCCTCGGTATCCTGCAGCTCCTCCGCCTGCACCCGCGCGTCATGTACATCGACATCGACGTCCACCACGGCGACGGCGTCGAGCAAGCCTTCTGGTCCACCGACCGCGTCCTTACCGTCTCTTTCCACAAATACGACAAGGATAACTTCTTCCCCGGCACCGGTGGCCTCGACAGCACAGGGCCCACCCATCCCCTCAACCCAGGCGCCCACCACTCCGTCAACGTCCCCCTCCACGACGGCATCGACGACGAATCCTACATCCAACTCTTCCGCGACGTCGTCGGCTCCTGCGTCGAAGTCTACCGCCCCGGCGCCATCGTCCTCCAATGCGGTGCCGACTCCCTCGGCTGCGACCGTCTCGGCTGCTTCAACCTGAACGTCGCCGCCCACGGCGCCTGCGTCGCCTTCGTCAAAACCTTCAACCTCCCACTCCTCGTCGTTGGCGGTGGCGGTTACACCCCGCGCAACGTCTCCCGCGCCTGGGCCCACGAAACCTCCATCCTCATCGACGCCCAAGATACCATCGACCCTCACATCCCCGAAACCGTCACCTTCCGCAACCACTTCGGCCCTGACTTCTCTCTCTTCCCACCCCTCTCGGAAATGCGCAAGCTCGAGAACAAGAACCCTCGCACTTACCTCGCCGGCTTGCTCCAATCCATCCGCGAACAACTCCGATATATCCAAGGTGCTCCGAGCGTGCAAATGAGCTTCATTCCTCCCGATATCCTCGGTCTTCGTGAAGATACAGAGAAGGAAATCGAAGAAGAAACGGCCATGATGGATGAGGAGCGCGAAGAACGATCTGGCGGTGGTAGTTTAGGAAAGTCGAGTCGACGGAGAGATTTGGAGAGAGGTGCTGGACAGCGGGGGGAGCTTTTCTGATACCCACCTTCATACCCTCTCTCTTTACTTTGGGTGTCTGTCTCGCATTTTCTTCGTCGGGTTTGTTTTTTGGAGTTGGTGGGGAACTGGAATCTATTGGGCCGGATGATGGCGTTGTCTTTTTTTTTTTTTTTTTTTTTTTTACCTTTGTCTAAAATTCATTATAATCGCGTCGTTTACTTGTATCTTTGGGTGGTGTGTGCTGCTTATAGAGAGTATACATTTGTATTGGAGGGGAGGAGGAAGGGGTGGTGGTATGATATTGTCCTGTATAATATATATGTTAGGCATATCTTTAGAAAGGAAAAGAAATATCAGGACATATCATGGGTATTTTTGTTTGGTCGTAATTGAATGATGTAAGTGGAGATATTCAAGATACTAAGTACTACTACCTTCTATCTCCAATTATTACTTTCGGGATGTCTTGCTTGTTGCCCAATCAGTCGAGAACGGGGGCGACGATCTAGAACTAGAAGCAGCAGGTAGACTACAAGGTGCAGGAAATAGTTATTACAAAGGAGGACAGATATTAAGTGGTTGAAGGTCATTGATAGTATTCAATTACTTTAAGGATGATGAAACATTATTTGCATCTGATATAGATCTAACAGATCTAGGATTCAATCATATCAAACCCGACGCCCCACTGAATGCATACGCATTGTCTAAACTCAAGCCTAAGCTGACTATAGCCAAGCGAGCGTCCACAAAGCCGGCAAATGAGGCCATTTCTCCTGCCACTCGGCAAGAATATCAGGCACGCGAGCATCGAAATTCCGTCTCGCCTCACCGACTCCATTTTCCCATCCATCGGCACCACTGGCCTTTCTCTCCTGCGAAGCAGCCTCATTTAACCGATTTGCTAGATCCAAGATAGCCTTGCCTCCTACTAGTGCCTCTTCATGATTATCCTTGATATCCACGTTGAAGACATGCACGGGACGGTTCAAAGGTGACCCCTTATTCATGAGATCGTCTACCACGGCATCCCAGCACCGCTCTTCACAGGTGATGATTACATCGACGACGCCGCCTTCAGTACCTAGGGCGCCCTTATCGCCCTTCGAGACGTGCTCGACGCGCGGCTGTCCCGGCACCCAGTCCTGGAAGCGCTCCGGGCCCCATTTCAGGTTACGGTTGCGCTCGAGCATGTTCAGGAGACCGTTGTTGCGGTACAGACGCTCGTCTTTGGAGAGCAGCTCGTCGTACATTTGGGAGTAGGAGGTTGTGTTGAAGTTGTAGACGTTGGGTTGGGTGATTGAGGGCCCGGGCAGGCGGACTAGAGAGCCCGTCCCGAAGGAGATTACAGGGAAGGGGCTCGACGCTGTGGAGAGCCGGAGGTGGGCTTCCATGGAGCGGTTTTGGTTGGAGGCACATACGGTGCAGAATCGGAGTTTATATGAGGAGGATGATAAGGACTCCGATTCTGCGACCGTGTTGTTGTTGGCCTCGTTTGGCGTGGAGGTGGGTTGAGGTTGGGTTGTTGTTGTTGGTGTACCCATGGCTTCTGGGGGTGGTGGGGGTGGAGGTGGAGGGGAGGGAGCGGTCGCAGTGCCTGCACTGGACAGTCGGGGGTCGTAGGCCATGATGATGAGTGTTATAGCCGCGTTTGGTGTGACCGTAGGTTAGGTTTAGGTGGTGTGTGATGAATTCGGTAAGTGATCGTTGGGGGGTATCAAGGAGGCTGGAAGGTGTGTTGTTCACTAGTTAGGCCCTGTAATGACTACTGACAATTAGAATCCGCGGCAGAAACAAATTCAATGGCAGTGACAAAGAAGTATAGTGTAAGGGGTGCAGGATTCAGTAAAAAGTTGCGTAATTAAGTTTGTCCGCATAATGTGCTAAGACAGCTCCAATATATAAAAGATTTCATCATGCTGCGGGAGGAATTGGGATTGGACTAGATGGATGCATTGCATATACATACCTTAGAAAAGCTTCGCATCATCTGCAATTCATTTACGCTGGTTCTACTGGGTGTGGGATGGATGTTGTTGATGAAGGGCCGCAGCCCTGAGTTGACAAGGTGAAGAAGTTTGCGTCGGCGGATTTCGCGCGCCTTTTGTGGTCATGTGCGCTGACTAAGCCGCGTGCTGCTCACTATGCCCGATTAGGACAGCTCGAGCATCTGGGCATTTCTCTTGACTGAGAGTCGGGCTTGGCTTTTGTTACTGCGGAGTGAATTGCATCCTATCTGAATTCCGAGGTTTGCTAGGCTGTTCGAGATGAGTACCAACATAGTATCTATCGACATGATCCTTCCCAGATGAATACTTCGTACCATCGAGCGGGGTCTAAGAACTAGTCCGGCCGTATGATACGATAGTAGCTGCCTACAGTTCCTCTCGCTTCCCTTAAAGCGACACTACCTACCTGTCTGCATACATATCGAACAAGACAGACCTAACCATTTCAAACGGTGCTCGAAACTGACAAAGACCACGTTAGCGTTAACAACCACCATCCAATATGAGAGCAGCCTTGATAGTTGTCGACATGCAGGAGGACTTCTGCCCTCCGGTCCGTACCCTCCCCATCCCTCAACCACACAACTCTGTACTAACGACTTCAACCAGAACGGCTCCCTCGCCGTCAACGAAGCCCGCACCCTCGCCCCAACAATCAACACCCTCCTCTCGAACCCAGGCTTCACCCTGCGCATCGCATCCCAAGACAGCCACCCACCGAACCACATCTCCTTTGCGCCGAACCACCCCCCACCCAACAACCTCCCCTTCGAGCACTTCATCGAGATGAGCAATCCCGCAACAGGCAAAGAAACCGAGACCAAGCCCCAACGGCTCTGGCCCGTCCACTGCGTAGAGGGCACCAAGGGTGCGGAAATCATCCCGGAAATCGACACCAAGAACATCGACCTCTACGTGCGAAAGGGCATGGATGCGCGAGTGGAGATGTACTCGGCGTTTGCGGATGCGTTTGGGAACCTCGATGCGGAGGTGAATCGGTCGTCGGTGGATGTGCATTTGAAGGGGGCGTTGGAGGAAAAGGGCATCACGGATGTGTTTTGTGTAGGTGTTGCTGGGGATTATTGTGTTAAGTGTACGGCGATTGATGCTGCGAGGGCTGGGCTGAGGAGTTATCTTGTTGAGGATGCGGTTAGTTGTGTTGATCCGGGGGTGGGGTGGGAGGAGGCCAAGAGGGAGTTGAGGGAGGCTGGGGTGCTGGTTGTTAGGTCGGATGGGCCGGAGGTTAGGGGGTTGTTAAGTGGGATGGTATAGGGGTTGTTGGTAGGTGATGATTATGTGTATATGTGTATATGGATGTGTTGGTAGTTGTGAGATGGGTGGGATGCTTGACGTGCATGCTGTATGTATGTGGTGTGCTTGTGCAGGTGTTTACTGCCCTCGAATGAGTGTCCATAGTACGTAGTAGGGGACTGGGCTATAGATAGATCGAGATATCCCAAGTCGTACTATAAATGATATAGTGGATCTAGATACATGGCCTATAATAGTGACTCTAAGACATGTTTCATCTGTAGCTATACGAGACAAGGAATAAGAAAGGACCGTGGATAGCGACAAGTTCAACCCTGGCAGAACAATCTGACAGGTCTCCACAGTGGAGTTGGGGCGGACGTTTGCAACGGCTTCCAGAGATCACCGGCTGCTCAGAACGCAGAAAAGTAAAAGGGAGTAGATAGATAGCTACGATGAATGGGACATCTGACGATACTCGCGTTGGGTTATATTATTCCATCGCGTTCGATCTAATTAGCTAGATATCCTTCTCCCCCTCTCCTTAATAACATGACCGTCAATCCCTTCTGGAATGGGCAGCGGGGCGTCGCGGCATCCCCATACTTTCAATAATCAATAACTCATCGCCACCGCATCCGGAACCAGTCACCGTTTATAATATCAGCTCTTACAGCTCGATTCGGTCGGTGCTTTTTCTGTTCGTTCTTGCTTGCTTCTTTTTTCCTTTTCACCGGTTCGTTTTGTCTTACCTGTTGTCTGCCTTATACATTAGATGCTGTTCGCTTCATAGACTCGGACGTTCTTCCTCCTGCCACCGCTCGTCTATCGATAGAGTCAGACCGTCGCTATGTCGTCCGCTGCAACCTACACAACCTTTCACGAGGGAATTCACTCTCCGGATGTGAAAGCCTCGACCAAGATACTCAGTCCGACAACCAGCCTTGCTCCAAAGACCTTACCGTACTGGCTTGTCAATGTTCCCCGCTCGCAATGGACAGCAGAATGTCCCAGCTACCTACGCGACATGTCGCAGAAAAACATCGAGGTGCTTTCGACCCCTGACGAGCAGTACCGGAGACAGGGGTGGGAGCTAGTCAAGGAGATCGTTCGTATGTTTCACCGACCAAATGAAACCGTGCGTCAGGGGGGAAGGACGTGGTCCGTGAGTGAGTGGTCCGCTAATAGATGATGGACAGGGTCCAACCAGATCGATCGGTTTCAGCGTCTTCCTAGCGATTTGAGACGGTATCTTGAGTTCAAGGAGCAGATTGTCGCGGAGTATGGATCGGTCATGCGGTTTGTCGTGAAGGAACGGCTTCGCTGGGGAGAAGGGACGGCGGATGATTTGAAGCCGAAGGGGCGGCCGTTTGAATATGATGGTTCGTATTCATTGTCCTCTTCCTTTTCGTTCCTTGAATGAGTCTTGGGCTGTCTGCGAGATGAGATGAGTGCTAAGCATGGTTGTGGTGGTTAGAGGATATTTGCATTCTTTACAATGACTGGCCATATGGAGTCGAGGAAGGCATTGTTCACTTGGTGGTGTGGACAAAGTTCGAGCTGGAGGATGATCCGGTCACGGATGACCTGACGCCACGCGCACGACAGGAGATTGAGGAGTATGTGCAACGGACGTTTCTCTCACGGATGCCAGCCGATCAGGTATGTATTGGCTAGAATGTTGGAAGGAATGCGCCAGGGGGCGGTGGTGGTGATGGGAAATGCTTCTTTTCAAGATACTAATACGAAGGGTAGGTCATCTGGTTCAAGAACTGGAAGTCATTAAAGTCAGTGCATGCCGTGGAGCACTTCCATGTCATGCTGCACCATCCCGATGCGGAATTCCTACGGGAGATCACAGGAGGGGATGCTCCGCTGAAACGACAGTCGGCATGAGTAGATACTAGAGATGGATTGATTTAGTTGATGGTTAAGGGTTAATCCGGGCATAGAGATAGACGAGATGGGTAGATGGGTCCCCCAGACTAGGATCTGAAGAAAATAGTAATAATCACCAACCATTATAGGAGGCCAAGGAAGTGATCATCGGCATTGCTTGATGCTTGAAACATGAGAAGAAAAGAAAAAGAAAAGCAAAGCGATGGGCTGTCATCCGTCATCCCCACTGCCAAGCCTGTGAGCCCCTCTTGATCGCGAGTCCAGTGGGAAATTTTGGACGGCGATCGGGAGGTGGAAGGTGGTTGCGGTCTGTAGCATAAGAACCGGCGAGGAAAGAGTAGATATCATATACTTATAAGCCTTCAAGGAAGATGCCGTGTCACCAACCAAGAGTATATTACATATACAGTTATACACTGGAGGCGAGAAGAGCCACCGTGGAAAGAAAAGCCCTCAGAAAAATCCGAATCAAGGCAGTTTCCCATCAACGTCATTCAGCTCCAGTTTCAGTAGCAATCATCCATCCGGATTCCCTCACACTCACCGTCTCTTGTGTCCCCCAGAGTAGAGTGAGTTAGTATTTATTAATAGAGAGAACTTCCCGACACTACGGCTTTCCCTCCTACTTTTCTGCAGAATTGATTGTTGGTTTCAGGAACTTGATCCCGACGCTGTCCGTCCATCCCGACATTGAAAGGCATTCTTTGGAGTGACTGATTGTCTCTTCTGCCACTTATCCACATCCATTGTTTTAATTAATTAATTAATTCAAGAACCCCCAAGTGACACCACAATTCAAATTCCTTATACGCCGCAGTCTGGTTGCATCGGTGTCTCCCTCTTCATCCCCCCCGTGTTGTACTTTCTCCCACCAGCAAAGTTAAAAGGAAAAACAAGAAGTACAAGATCAACCACAATTACCACCACCACCACCATCACCACCAGAGAATCATTATTAGATCAAATAAATACAACAGTACCACGGAACGCCATGCCCATCTCCGTCCCGCACATCCGCCGACGGTCATCGCTTGCCAGTGAGTGAAGTTTGTTGCCGTCATCCGGTCGAGACTCTCCCCTCTTTTTTTTTTTTTCTGTTGCTGCTACTGCTGCTCCTCCCACGTCATTCCTGTCTGGCTGCCTCAGTCACTTTCTGTCTACTGCAGCTGGCTGCCTCAACATCCCCCTCTCCGCCGCCCTTTTCTCTCTCTTCCCCTCCTTGGCTCTCTCTCTCTCTCTCCTCCGACCGGCTGTCTTTTCACCACCTCTCTTTCATCTCGCGCATTTCTGCTGCCCACCATCATGTCCGCTGACTGGGGCTCTTTTTTCCATGTTTCAGGTAATCGTTCACACGATGAGCCCAAAGCTGAGCCCGCGAGCGGGGACGACGAGATCGTCGAGCCCGACCAGGGAAATGGTACGTAGCTATCCCCCTCACTATGACCAAAAAAAAAGACAAACAAAAGAAAATACCACTGCAAATACCTAGTCTTTTCCCATTTCCACTGACCTATTTGTAGTTCTTTCCCACATTATCTCGCAGCTCCGACCGGGAGCTGACCTGAGTCGGGTCGTCCTGCCCACTTTTATTCTCGAACCCCGATCTATGCTGGAGCGCATCACCAAGTATGTCGGAGTATCCGCATCGCATGTGAAGAAGTAGCAGCTAACTGATTTCCTCTACATCCAGCTTCATGGCGCACCCCGAAACACTGCTTCCTATGCCAACCATAGATGACCCCCTAGAACGATTCGTTTCCGTCGTCAAGTTCTATCTCAGCGGATGGCACATCAAACCTCCGTATGTTGTCGCTCCCCTTGAGATTGGTTTATTTCACCAGTTCCGGTCTTGCTGACACCCGTCCCAGAGGAGTGAAGAAGCCGCTGAACCCGATCCTCGGAGAGACTTTCACCTGTTACTGGGACTATCCCGACGGTACCCGTGGGTACTATATCGCCGAGCAGACCTCTCACCACCCGCCCAAATCGAGCTACTTCTTCATGGCACCCGAGCACAATATCCGGATAGATGGCACCTTGAAACCCCGCAGTAAATTCCTCGGAAACTCGGCCGCTAGTATGATGGAGGGTATTGCGATTCTGCGGTTCTTGAACCGCGGACAGGACAAGGAGAAGGGCGAACGATAGTAGGTGGTCCTGCGTCCGCGCATGAGGACAACTCTAATCTGGCCTAGCATCTTGACGCAACCGAACATGTACGCCCGCGGCATTCTTTTCGGAAAGATGAAATACGAGTTGGGCGACCACAGCTACGTCCGGTGCCCAGAGAACAACCTCGTTGCCGACATCGAATTCAAGACCAAGGGCTACTTCTCTGGTACTTACAACGCTATCGGTGGGACAATTAAGAACGAAAAGACCGGCGAGGTATACTATGAACTGTCCGGTCTCTGGAATGGTGAGATGCACATCAAGGATGTTCACGTAAGTTCTCCTCCCTTACACGGAGGACTGTCAACCTAACTCGAGCAGACTCACAAGAAGGACTTGCTCTTCAACGCTACGCATGCGAAGCACACCCCTCCCTTGACCAGACCTATTGAACAGCAGGGCGAGCGCGAGTCGCAGCGACTGTGGCAACCCACCGTGAAGGCGATCATTGCCAGGAACCACGAGGCAGCTACCGATGAGAAGACCAAGATTGAGGACCGCCAAAGAGAAGAGGCAGCGAAGCGTGCCGATGATGGCGTCGAATGGCACCCCCGGCTGTTCCGACGGGTGCAGGGCGGGCCCCACGGCCCCGATGAGGGAGAAGAGGACCTAGACTGGATCATCAATGCACACGTGTAAGTTTCTGTGTTTACATCGGAAGTATAACAGGACTGACGACCCCAGCGACTCGCACAACCCCGAGCTCGCTGCCAAACAAATTCTGGCCATTGCCCCGATCCTCGAAGGTCAGACAGAACCCACCCAGTTCCAGATTCCCGCACACAAGGGTAAGGAGTCTGCTGCGACAGCCGATCCAGCCGATGGCGCTGACTCCGCTCAGAGCGAGCCTAAGAAAGAAGCAGAAGAAGCCGTCGAACGCAAGGACTCACGGACATCGGATGTCGATGCCTACGTCGATGCCAAGGAGACATAGGTGTAACTGACTTCCT